AGGTACGCAATCTCCCATCTATTACATTAGCAAGACACTAGTCGACGCCGAGACCAAATACCCCCAGCTTGAAAAACTGGCCCTGGCCTTAGTCGTAGCTTCACGAAAGCTTAGACCGTATTTGCATTGCTATCCCATCTCGATAGTCACGACTTTCCCCTTAAGAAGCATTTTACACAAGCCCGAACTATCGAGCATATTGGCCAAATGGGATATCGAACTATGTTAGCATAATATTACGTAATGACCACGAACAACAATAAAGTCTCAGGTCCCCGCTGACTTAAGTGTGCGTATACTGCACGAAGTCGAAAAGGAAGTCGTCCATGCTTCATCCCAAACACAACACCTCTGGGTCCTATACACCGACGACACATCTAACGCGTCGGGGTCCGGGCTGGGACTCGTACTCGAAGTCCAACAGGCGAAGTGATTCGCCAATCCATAAGGTGCCCGGACTTGACTAACAACGAGACCGAGTATGAGGTCGTAATTGCAGGACTAAAACTAGCACTCAAATACGAGGCGAAGCAGCAAAGGTTGCGATGCGATTCTCAGCTCGTGGTCAACCAAGTAACAAGGACTTTCCAAATCAAGAAGCAAAGGTTACAAAAATACCAGACCGAAATCTGCAAACTACTACGCGAGTTCGAAGAATGTCAGCTTGACCAGATTCCCCGAGCACAGAATATCAAGGCGGACGGTCTCGCCAAATTAGCAGCATCCACCAAAAATATTACAACCGGAGACCAAAATATGGTCCACCTCCTCAACTCGTCGATAGACCAAATCGAGGTAAGAATCATAAACCTGAATTGGGACTGGCGCAACTGTATTATTACATATTTTCAGGACATCGTACTCCCCAGCGATAAAAAAGAGGCCAAGAAGCTGCGAATGCAAGCGGCCATATATAGAATTGTTCACAACGACCTGTACAAAAGGACATATGGCGGCCCTCTAGCGAAATGTTTAGGCCCAAATCAGACGCGGCGCGTCCGTGAGGAAGTACACGATGACCACTGTGGAGCTCACTTTGGCAATCGAGCTTTGGTCAGGTGCCTCATACGAGCGGGGTATTACTGGCCCACCATGAAAAGGGAGGTTGCGGACTTTGTGCAAAAATGTGAGCAATGCTAGAAATATGCCCCAATAATCCACCAAGCAGGAGAACACCTACACTCAGTAAATTCTCCTTGGTCGTTCATCAAATGGGGAATGAACATCATGGGCCCCCTTCCGGCGGGACGAGGTAAAGTATGATTTCTCTCAGTTTTAACTGACTATTTCTCTAAATGGGTGGAAGCAAGAGCATTCGCCTAAATATGCGAACAAGAGGTGACCGCCTTCATATGGAAAAACATCATATGCCATTTCGGTCTCCCCAAAAAAATCAGCTGCGACAACGGACCTCAATTTGCAGGAAAGAAGGTCGCCGACTTTTTTGAAAAATGGCACATCAAAAGAATACTATCAACACCTTACCACCCAGCGGGCAACGGGCAAGCAGAGTCCTCCAACAAGTCAATACTAAACATTATGAAAAAGAAGCTCGAAGCCGCCAAGGGACTCTGGCCAGAAATATTAAGAGAAGTATTATAGGCCTACCGAACATCACCAAAAACAAGCACAGGGGAAACGCCATACTCGTTAGTCTATAGGACTGATACAGTAATACCAATCGAGGTCGGGGCACCCAGCCTAAGATACTTCCGCGAAAGCGGACCCCAAAACGATGACAGTAGAAGGTAGGAACTCGACAAAGTTGGGGAACGAAGAGATATGGCCTACATGAGAATGGTCGCCCAAAAGCAAAAAGCAGAACGCTACTATAACAAAAGAGCAAAGATCAGACCACTTAAGGTCGGGGACTAAGTGCTTAAAGCTAAAACACAAGCAAGCAAAGATCCACGGGAAGGCAAACTAGGAACAAACTAGGACGGCCCCTACAAAATTACGGCAGCAACAAGCAAATGGTAATTCACACTAGAAACAGTGTAAGGAAAGCGATTACCAAACAACTGGAATATTACACATCTCAAATACTTCAACTTTTAAAGGATGAGGTCCCCAAAGTCGCACTCTTTTTCCCTCACTCGAGTTTTGTCCCAATTGGGTTTTCTCGATGAGGTTTTTAATGAGGCGATGGCGGGGATACTTCAGGATTGAAGTGTGCAGATACGAAGACACTGGTATTATTTTGTAGTTCAACTAATGAAGGTACTAGATAGACCGGGACTGGGACTGAACTACCATCCAGCGCCCAGAAAATATGTAAATCTCTCCAAGAATATGAACAAAGCACAAGTACATGAAGTTTATTTTTGCTCTCCCCAATTAAAGGTTACATTTGACCTCGTTTGAATTAACACCTATTCGACCCACGACCTTAACTAATTAAAGGTTACATTCGACCTCGTTCGAATTAAAACCTACTCGGCCCACGACCTTAACTATTTAAAGGTTACATTCAACCTCGTTCGAATTAACACATACTCGGACCACGACCTTAACAAATTAAAAGTTATATTCGACCTCGTTCGAACTAAAACCTACTCGGCCCACAACCTTAACTAATTAAAAGTTACATTCGACCTCGTTTCAAATTAACACCTACTCGGCCCATGGCCTGGACTAAATAAAGGTTACATTCGACCCCGATCGAATTAAAAATGCTATGCGTTCGACCTTATTCGAACCAACTACCGGCCCTCGGCCATAATCGAACCAAGACTCGTTCCAACCTCGTTTGACCTACTCGAACAAATCTATTACGACGAAGGCAAATAAGCAACAAAATAAAAAAAACGTACAAGCCCGAACAAAGAAAAAGAATCAGGTACGAATAACATAACTGACATTTCATACTTAAAATATTTTTCTAAAAAGGCTCGAATACACGCCTACAAAAAATACACACAAGCATGCGGCTAAACAAAAAAGAAGGAAAAACAACTAAACATCGCCCGGCTCAGAGGCACCACTAGTTTAATTACCCAGGTCGTCTCCATCTATCTCTTCGCCATCGCCAGCGAAATACTCATCCTCGTACCAGGCATCCTGTTCAATTCGATCCATGCCCGCTCCCTCGTCATCACTGGCTTCCGGTGTAGCGGGGTCATAACCACAAGCAAACCGAGCTTCACGTGCCTTAGCACGAGCATCTTCGAAGTCTGCCTCTGAAAAAGCCCCCGCCCCCATCAGGTCCCTGAATATATCCAGCTGAGCCTCGGCGTGAATCCATTCCTCGTATAGATCTTGCGGAACATCAGGAAAATAAGAAGCGCTAGAGAAAGACGGCTGAGCCAATAACTGCGCCTTCTCGGCCTGAGAGCAGCAACTCGATCACTAAGTCCCGAAGCCTCTTTCTCTAGCTCCCCTATCTGTTAATCAAGTCGCTCATCTTTGAGCCTGGCCGTCTCCAAAGTGCACTCCCGCTCAAAATGGAAAACACGGATCACGATCTCTAAAGTCTCTATTCTCCTCGCAGCCGATAGATGGGCCAACTTCGGCTTCGCTAAACCCACTGCCTTCTCAGCGACCTCACCACTCAGAGCGACCACTTTGAGTTAACACTCCTCGAGCTCGGCGCGCAATGAGACCACTTGGGCTTGAAGGTCGGCACATTAGGCCTCGAACCCCTGCTCACGGTATTCGCGATATTTCTGCTCCATCTTCTGAAAAATGGCCTTACACCTCTCCACTCGTTGGGCGCTCTCGATCTCCAAAATCACAGTCTGAAACAAAGATAGAACGAGTAAGAACAAAACTGCACTCGACATAAAAAAAAGGAGAAAGATCAGAAGGCTTACCCTAAGAGCGAGGCCGGCTATACTCCTCGATAAAGTGGCGTCCTTTAGCTTATCAAGGGTTTTACCCTCCACATTGGAACAGAGGGGACTAAGAGAAGGGACCACATCCTCTGTATCAATCAGCAAATCCCAATCCAAGGGGATCGCAATGGTCTGCGCGGTGCCCTCCAATCTCACCTCAAGTAGGGTAAGTCCTTCCCCCATCATCCTCACTTCCTCGGCATCCATATCGGAGCCCGTCTCGTAACCTTATTCGGCTACACTTTTTCCTTTTAGGTCAATCCGGGAAGAAGGATCCTCGGTTGTTAGCAAGGCCGATGGCTCAAGAAATAAATTTGAGCAAAAGGAGTTGCTTTTAAATGTCAGCTTATTATATATTACTCCATCCGCACAATAAGTGATTTTTTTCACTTTTTTTCTGGTCCAAAATCAATAAATAATGTGATTGATGGTACTGATATCAGTTAGTCGTATTTGGTCGATAACATTGATTGATGCTCCCATTCCCACGCTCAATCCAACCCTTGAATAGCTATCAATTTTTGGAAAGTACTGCTACTATTTTTTTCTTGTTTCTTTTCTATTTCATATTTCCTTTTTCTTTTCTTCTTTGAAAAGTCAATAATTTCCATATCAGAAAGGACTGGGCAAATACTTGGAATAGTCAAGTCTATATACTTGCGGAAAAAAACAAAGTCAATAGACTTAAGTATAGAAAAAAAGAAGATAATTGTATATTTTTAGTCGCTTCCAAAAATAATAATTAATTATATATGTGTATGTGTGTGTGTCATATCGGGATTATTACACTATAAAATATGTATACATAGTATACATAACCTATCCACTTGTTGATCAATTAGTTTCGATGGCCAATTTTATATTTTGCACCAAAGAAAGAAGGCATAAATGGAATTTCAGCCGGCTGCTAAATAGGCCTCGATGACAAATAGTACGTTCGTACCATTACTTTAGTTGGGTGAAATTTGAATTAATTCCTCTAGAAATTTAATCCTCTTTTAATTTGTTAGAGCAAAGGGTCTAATTGCGTCTTACTATTTGAAATTAAGCAACTTTGTATTCGGTTAAATTAATAAAGTTTTTGTCATGCCACTAGGAAGTCATGGATTCGAGCGGTGAAAACAGTCTTTCGCAAAAATACAGGATAAGATTGTGTACAATAAACACATGTGGTTCGACCCTTTCCAGGATCCCGTGCATAGCGGAAGCTTAGTGCACTGGGTTGCTCTTTTACTGCTCCGTCACTTGATAAAAATCTTATTTTCCCGTAACTCCTAACGAAGCTCTAATATAAAAATTATTTTAAATCATAAACAAAAGTGGAGTTAATTGAACCCTTTTACGAAGATTGTGGATACGCGGAGTTCCCACTTACAAAACGTTGTAGAAATTAATGAAATCACTCACCTCACCTTAGCTTGCCTTAGAAATTTAAGAGTTTAATATAATGACTGTCCAGAAGTGGAAATTTGAACAAAAACGAGTCTATTAAAAAGACTTAAATAAAAGGATGATGACAGCTAACAAAGTGAACTTCCAAAGTCAAATACTGGTCCTTCAAATAAATATTCTTAAAAATATTAGTTGGACCTACTTGACTTTCTAATTCCCTTAAATTACCCTTGGCGTAACCTCTTAAAAAAACAAAACTCCCTCTTCTCAATTAATAAACACAAGGGTATATTTGGAAAACCAACTTTCAACCCTTTCATTACTTCATATATGAAACTAGTATATAATCTAAAGTATTTCACCAGTCTTTCTAAAGTACAAAAATCAAACATTTTTCAAGAAAACTCTTCTTTTTATAAAAGTTCCTCCCTCTTCTTCTCAATTATTTTCATGACATTTCTTCATTATTTTCCATTCAACTTTTCACCTATAGCACTGAGAGGAATTATATTTTCCTTCTTTGTAATGGAATTCTTGTTTTTATAATCAAGAATTCAGGGCTAATTGGTAATATTTCTGACCTTAAAGAAAGTCACAAGGAGAAATCCAGAGAATATCAAAATCCAGTTGTTTCGGAAACAAAGACGGAAAAGGATAGTTCGGTGCTCAAAGCATCGCGAGTTCAAACAAAGGCAGAAAAAGTTTTCGAAAAAGTTGTTGAAATTGAAAACCAATGTGGAGAAGAAGAAGAAGAAAAAGAAGAAGGAATAATGAATCAGGATTTGGTTATTGTTGGAATAGCTAATGAGAATGAAGATGAAGCTTATAATCAAGAAAATAATGTTGAAATTATTGAAGAAGATGAAGAAGAAGAAGAATTAGAAGAAACATTAGAAGAGTTGCACAAGAAGTGTGAAGATTTTATAAAGAGAATTAAGAAAGAGATTAATATGACGAATTGATGCTGCAAAATTAATAATCAAGGATTAGTATCTATAACAAATAATATAACCATGTATTTACTAGTTCTGCCTCAAGTTCACTTGATTTGCTTCACCTTTTCTTTTTCTTTATCTGTATGACATTTTTGTAATAGAACCCCCACCCCCACCTCGCAGTTCCATCTTTTTGGATACTATCTTTTTGGATACTACCTCCGTTCCGGTTGACGTGAACATATTTTCTTTTTGGTCCGTTCAAAAAAGAATGATCCTTTTCTAAATTTAGAAATAAATTTGCTTAAACTTACAATTTTACCCTTAATGAGAAGCTTTTATAACCACACAAATGCTCTGAACCCCTTTTTGAATTGTTTAGGACCACAAATTTCAAAAGTCGTTTTATTTTTTCTTAAACTCCATACTCAATCAAACATGTTCACACAAATTGGAACAGAAGGAGTATAATTTTTAAAGGTATTGAAGCATACGACAAAAAAAAAACATTTCGACAGAAAATTTGTTTCGATTTTATTATTATCTTGTTGTTATTACTGTTTTCTTTTCTTCTTTATTACTGTGATTCTGCTTGTTTTAGTCGAGAAATTATCGAAAACAATCTTTCTATCTGCAGACTTCACTTGTGGAATTACACTAAATATGTTATTATTATTGTACCGGAAAAAAAAGGATGAACTATTTTTGAAGTAATATGTCATTTAAGTTACTCTTTTACGTTGTGTAATTCAATTGATGTGATATTTTTTTCTCCTTTGCTTATTTTTTAGTCTTTAAGAAGGAACTTGCCAGTTTACGAACAAGAATTGTAGTGGAATAGTAAGTACTCTTTTATCATTAATCAGAGGTCTCGGGTTTAAGCCTTAAGTATAGAGTTATATTTATTAGAAAACGCTTTACCCCTAATATAAAATATGTCGGTGTAAATCCGGATTTAATCGGACTCCAATATGTGTACCGGATAGTAGGAAACGAAAAAATGCAATTGACAGCTTNCAGGTAGTGGCTATTTCTGCCCTTCACATGCAGTGGAAATGACACTAGGTAGCTACTTTTAAATGTGTTATTTAAAATACATCCATATTTTACAATGTATTTAAAGATTAACCAATTTCGCTCAAATTTCAGAGCATGACGTCCTAGAGTTTAAACTTTAAAGTTCGAACTTCTGGATATCGTGTCCTAAAGTTCGAAAATTATGTCCAGAAGTTCGAATCTTATGTCCTGAATTTTAAATTAATAGTTCACTAATTCAGGACACTTAGTTGTGAATTTTAAATTAGCAGCTCAAAAATTCAGGATACTAAGTCCTGAATTTCAATTTCAGGATACCTAGTCGTGAAGCTTGGGTGAATTGGCTAATCTTTAAATACAATGTAAATTATGGATATATTTTAAATAGGGGCTTAAAAATGGCTATTGCTGCACTTCGCCCCCGAATGTATATATATGTGTATATAATCATGTATACCGGTTAGAAAAAGTAAATAATAAAATTTACCGGCTATTTGTATAAACATCCCGGCAGGTTAAACCCATCTGGCCCGTTTTGCGACCCCAGTTAGGATCTGCCCAGCCCAGCTTAGCCACTAAGATCAGCCCATAGAAGGCCCAAACTAGTGCAAGAGCATCCTACATCATCTTTCTTACGAAACTATGCTTGCATCATCCCACTAGGGATTGTTTGGTAAGGGGAAAGCGTGTTTGGCAATGCCTAAAAAATATTTTTCAAATAAGTTCTCCGGAAAATATAAATTTAAAAAGCATTCATTTTTTTTTAACTTTAGTTATATTATATTGGATAAAATTATTTTTATTGGATCTACTCTAGCGTTCAACATGATTCTAAATATGATAAGTTATTTTAGAAACCCTCCCCATTTTACCTTATTGGAGAGGGTAAAAATAAGATGGATCATAATCCCTTTGTAAAGAACAAATATAACCGAAATGCTCTTCAGCACAAGAATATTTTTATTTATTTTTCTTGTTGTTGTGTGCTTTTTTATTTATCTTTTTCTTCTTTTTGGGATGTAATGATGTTTGGTATTGCAGTATTTATCTAGTACATGATTGGTCATGCCAAATACAGGAAAAATAATTTAATTCCCTTTCAAATCACCTCATAGAAAACATATTGCAAAAATTGTTCGTCCCCATTTTCTTAACTATTCGTTCAACTGTCCCCTTTAGGATTTCAAACATAATCATTCCATTGACTTGTTACTCTCTTTCGGTGTGCTAGAGTCCTAGACTAGGTACTCGATTTATTATTATTTTGAGTTCACGTCATCTTTTTATTTTTCAGTATAAAATAAAGATTTCAAAAAACAATTCTATGCAAAAAGTAACACCACATATAATTTGGACTTTGAAGGGTAAGAACTTATTAGTACCAAATGTATAACCCAACCAATAAATGCACTATACGTGTTTGTATTTATTTCACTTCATCATAGTTAATTATTGCATATTTTTACTTTGTTAAATCACTTAACTATGATAAGTTAATATAGTTAAATATAAATTCGACAGGGATAACTTTTTACGTGATTTGGAGTGCATCTCATAAAAAAAATGATTCTGTAATCTATATTTATATATTATTAAAAGTCAAAGAAAAAAGTATCACATTAAGTCAAGTGACAGCCTAGAAAAAAGTCACATGGTAATAATTAGTTATTTAGTTAAAAATTAGTTATTGATTACTATTTTTGAATTTAAATGTCTATAAAATTTGAAAATAAGAAAAAATAANTATATATATATATATATATGTATGTATAAAGAGAAGTAAAATAATTATATGATGCCAAATGGCATAACCATACGATGACAAATATAGATATTGAGGACAAAGCTCCAACAAAGTTGGAGTTTTAAAATTATTATAAAATAAAAAACGAAATTAAAAAAAAATTATCATTTCAAATTGGGGAGTAGATTCAAGTTGGAGTTTTAAAATTATTTTAAAATAAAAAAATAAAAAACTTTCAATTCATATTTGGGAGTAGTTCCTAATATTATAGTCTATATCCGTATCAATATCTATTTATCTATATAGAATAAAAGAAACAAACCAATGTGTTGATGCTAAGTGTAACAACAAAAATTTAACAAGTGTCACATTTTAGGACAAACCTCCTACAAATTTGGACATTCAAAATTTATTTTAAAAACAAAGAAAAAAGAAAATGAAAAAAGACACAAAGAAATTAACTACCTAAAATTAACTACTCAAACATGGGTGAGTGTTGGTTTAGGGTTTAGTTAATTTCTTTGTTTCTTTTGTTTAAATCATTTTTTTAATAAATAATAAAGATATTTATTCATTAAAATTCATACAATATTAAATAAAAAATATATTTCAAAGCTTATTATATCATAAATAATGTGCCCTCAAAATCAATATGAAGTAATGGTGTACTGATATTAGTTACTCGTATTTTGGTTGATACCCCCATTCCCACGCTCAATCCAACACTCGGTAAATATTTGGAACGGTCGGAGACTTATGGAAAAAAACAAAGTCAATAGACTTAAGTACCGAAAATTGAAGAAGAGAAAGGTATATTTTTAGCCGTTTCAAGAAAATAATAGTCAATTATATATATTAAATGCAATTAATTTTGATCGATCAATTTATTTACCCTCAAAATCGGATAACAATTAAATTTGTACGTGATTTTAAGGATACATGATCTAACTTGATACAAAATGATAAATTAGATTGAAGTTGAAATAAATAATAAAAAAGCAAATGCAAACCACGCAAGTTGAATTATCTCAGCCTTGGAAGGTTAGTCACCTTTGGGCAAAAAATATTTTTATCGATGCCGGAACAGAATGACAAAATAATAAGAACAAGAAATAACAGTAAAATTGCCTTTTGATGTGTGTTACAATCTCTTTTATAAGTAATCAGACCCCCCCTTTATATAGCAGGGGGTCCTACCTTATATACAATTATATAAAAGGTAAAAATCTCCTGGTTTGCTGATTTGCCGGTCCTTTACTGACACGTGACGAGATTCCCGCCGAAATATCCGATTGGCTACGGATATTTCGGCCTTCCGTTATTTCAGTCTTCTATTGTTTCATACCGACAATATTTCTTCGAGCTTATTCGGAGTCAGGGTCGATTCTGAGATCACGGGCTCAATGTTCCTGAGAACGGACATTCTAATCTCGTGTTCTGGTTCGATGAGATACGGGGTCGATCTCCAACCCTTCGCGTTCTGAGCCCGATTTGTTGTGCAATAGTCGAGCCCGATTTCGGCCGTATACAGATAGTCATCTCTTTTTTAGAGAGTAAACGATGAGAAACGATATGAGCTTCCGATATCTCTTCTCGGTACTCCACGTCAGAAACGACAAAATGAACAAAACGTCTCGTGAGTCACGTCTTAATGGCATTAAATGTTCATCAGTTGCTGGTCGGCCACTTATGGCTTTGAACCGTCGTTTGGAAACTATAAATACCCCATCCTTCATTCATTCAAAACTTTACATCCAAATCTTCTCTACTCCTGTTTTTTAGAAATTTCAACACTTCCCAGTATTAAATTTCTGGCTATTCTAAAATCCTTTCACAAGAACTTCCGCTTTGTTTTTATCCCCAATCATCAAACTTAATCTATAAACTTCCTCTCTTTCCTTCATCAATCAAAGAAATGACGAAGACTTCAAAATCCATTCCCCCAAAATAAGCTCCCTCTATCTCGCGACCGGCTGTAGAGGAAAACGTTTCGTCTGCTGCTACTGAGGAACCGACACCGGAACCTCCCCTGAAGATGTTCGTTCCTTCGGGGTGCCCAACCGGTGCTGATTTCAAGGTCGAGAAATCCTCCTTGGTGTCGGGTCGGTGTGAACCGGTCTCGAGATATGTATGCTTGGTCACTGATAGTTTCCTCTCCAAGGTCGAGGAGGATTGCAATTGGGTTGATAAGCACGTGGTGGTCCCCACGCTCGACGAAGCGATTACTACCCACGTTGAGATTTTTTTAAGTGTTTACACTTATCCCTTCATGTTGGGCTCCTTGGATCCGGTCATCTTGCCTTCTGTAAGAGGTATGAGGTGACCCTCGGTCAAATTCATCCTTCTTTTTAGAGGATAGTAATTCTCCTTCGCTTATTCGTAAGCAAAATGGAGGGGTGCCCCTTCACCATCGACCATCTTATACGTTTGTATAGT